TGCTGAATTTAAGGATATTACTTATTTAGTATGTTTTTTTTACATTTAGGTTATAGCCAACTCTTGATATAGCAAACTTTTGATATAACGAATTTTTTGAATAAATATAATAAAAATACTCTTGTTATAGCGAATTGATCAATCAAATCTCTTAAAATCTTCATTATAACCTTATAGTGAAGTTGAGGTCTAGGACATAGAGTTCGTTATAACAAGAATTAACTGTATAAAGGTATGTTATAATAGTTTATTTATTTAATATATAATTTTATTTTTTAATAATTTATTAATATTTAATTATAGAAATTGTTTTGCTTGTGAAGTTTTTTACAAAATCTTACTTGCTGCAGATGATATTTATGAAAAATGAATAAAATACCTAAAAAATGAGAAGGATTAATAGTTCAAATCTGTACCTATCACAAAAGATAAGCTTCTTTTGATTTTTCTTTTTATGATAATAAAAATCCTCAAATTTAATGGTCATCAATTGAAGATTGTTTTAATAGAAATAAAAATTATATATGTTAACTTGCATTAAAACTTTTCGCAATCATTTCTCATACTGCAGAATGTGAAAGAATATAGTTAAAGCTTAAATAGTATTATGAAAAATGACGAGTTTATTTTTCTTTGCATAAACTTGAAAATATACAAAAATTAGTTGCTTTTTATCTTTCTAATATAAAAAAAGAATTGAATTATTATGGAGTTGATAAAATAACAGTAGAATTACAAAAAATAATTCAAGATGCTGAGATATTTGAAGATGATGATTATGAATTTTTACAAGAAGCAAAAGATTTCGAAAATAAGCAATTTAATTATGAGAAAGAAGAAAATCTTAAAATTGAAAATTTAGTAAATTTAGAAGCAGAAGAAATTATTTTAGGTCTAGATAAAATAATGAAAGAAAATGTAAATAATAATAATATTTATAGTATTAATAGTAATGGCGATATTATAGATGATATAGATGAAGATTAAGATCTAAAAGCCATTGCAGATAAATATATAGATAATTAATAATTTGTTTTGATATTAAATAAATGATTATATGAGACATACTACAACAAAACCAGACAAAATGAACATTGGTATTACTAAGGATTTCAGAGGTCATTTATAATGTAATTATAATTAATAATTTATAATATCCCATTTGTTATCTTAAGTGATATATCCCTATACAAAAATAGTTAATATGAAATTCATTTACATCAGATTTACTATGGAACCTAAAAATTATAGTATTATCAGAAGTATTTTGAAGAAAGAGCAAGGTGAAAAAATTGTTCCTTATATTTTTAAAATAAATAATACTCAGACACTAGAAACTTATCTAAAAAAAGAAAGGATTACCTATGAAATTTATCAAGAAGAAAGAAAAATAATAAATATTAGAAAAAGAAGCAGAATGATGATGCATTATTATTTAATAAAAAGCAAAAATCTCTAAAAGGAAAATAACTACCATTTTCTTTGATAGTTGAAATGAATTTCAATTTATACAGAGGAAAATTTCCTCAATTACATTATTATAATATTTTTTACATTTGCCATAAATAAAAATTATATCAGCATAACTATCAAGAGTATTATGACCTATCATTTGATAAGTAGCAGGAGCAGTATCAAGGCTGAAATTAGTTGGATTGTCAAAATCTAGAAAGCAAAAATTACATTCTTGTTTATCATTCTTTGTTATTTCTAAAACTCTATATTCTAACTTCATACAATTATTTACTTTTCTGAATAATGAAAGTTTGGAACTTCTTCTTAGCCTTTTCTTTTACTTTACTTACTAATTTTTTAAGTTTGTATAATCTATTTTCTTTTTGTTATTTTGGTAAAGCTAATAATTCTTTCTTTTCTAAGTAAATCCTTTGGTTTATTTCCTGATTCTTAGCCACCAAATTATTTTCCAACAAGTCTATTTGGTTTAGAAGTTTACCCATTGTAGCATCATACCTCAAAACTATTTTAAACATTTGACACTTTCTCTACTTCATAGCTGTATTTAGTACTTTTTCAGCTTCTTCATGTTTTATTCATACTTTATCTTTTAATTCTTCTATTCTGTTTTCTTACTCTTTAATCTCAGTTTCTAATCCCTCAATTTTCTTTTTAAATTCTTTCCTTTGCTTAGTATTTTCATAACCTCATTTACTTTACTGAGAAATATACTTAGAGCAAGTTTTACCTAAATCTTTTGAACTATCAATAAACTTCTTTAACATTTCTTCAATTGTAATGTTATCAAATCAAACTCTTTCATACTCTTTCATATATGAGTTAGGATGATTAGGATCTTTAGCCATTCTAAACTTACCTTTCTCTAATCACTTTTTATTTAGTTTCTTATATCATCAATGATTAGAGGTATAACTACTTTCATTAATAAGGTGTCAAATTTTTAGTTTTAGATTTTCAATTTCTTGTTCTCTTTTTTTGTTGATATCACTGATTTCTTCTAATAGTTGTTTATTTTTCTATTCAAGTTCATTTATTATGCTTATCATGATTTTCTTGTTTAGTTATTTTTTCTTATTTATTCTTTTAATATACTTATATCATTTTTATAAGGGTATGTTAAGTATATAAATTATTTTACTTTAAAAGTGAAAAAGTTAACAAATATTTGTCAAAAGATTAAACTTAATAATGGTAAGGGAACAAATTAACAAGTGACAAAGTGATTTTATTCTAAATATTTTATTTACTTCTAGTATAAATTGATCTTAAACAAATAATATCTTTGAATTTATCTTTAACAAATAGACAAATATTATAATAAAGATATTCTTGCCTTTTGTAATCCAAAGAAAATGATGTCAATACTAAAATAAATAAAGCTTTAATTTCTTCAAAAATATCTATTTTCTTAGTTTTTAATAAATTGAATTTAGTAAAAGTTCTATTAGTCACTTCTTAAGTTTTGACTACACCAAGATTAAATGCTTTAAAAAGAAAATGTTGATACTTTTGTAAACCATTTAGTTTCTTAAAATAAATTTCCAAAATAGCTTTAATATCTAAGTATTGAAAGTCTTTTCCACCTTCATAACACTGAGCTTTATTTAATCCTGCTAAACTAGACTTTTTTATCACCTTAATCACATGATTCAGACAATCTACTCTTGTTCTTCTGTAGAGTTTTTTAATCAAGCTAAAATTACCATCATATTTGAATTTGGTATATCCTAGAACTATGAAGTTCAATTCAACACTTTCATAATATCTACAAATTACTAAATATAAATAAAATCAAATAGTTACATTATTTTTATTTTGTCTACCAGCATTATTATAAGTAATCTTTAAATGTTTTTCACCTTTGTTTAATTTTTTAATTCTATCAAAAATCATACTCAGTGTACCTTTTAGTCCTTTTCCTATAATTTCATCTTCATTAAGAATATAATTAATTTGTTCCCTTACTGCTTCATTTTGAATACCAAATAAATGAACTTTGCGTAAATTAAAGTAATAAATTTTATTTACTTGTTGATCAGAATGTGATACATGAACATTTTAAGCTTAATCATAACTATAATGAGTAGTGGCATCAACACTGCAATATTGTATTTTACTTTTGAATAATTTTGATTAACTAATTTTCTTTGTTTTTCTGCTAATTTGATATTTTTATTATAATAATTTCTTTCTAGTTTGGCTTTAGACAGATGTTCTTTAAATCTTTTAAGTAAATCTTTAGCTTCCTCCTCTTGGTAAGCATTATAATGTAAACCATTTCTAAAATGTTGACAAGTATTATACAAATCAGTTCTTGCATTCATAATTTGAATTTCTAATGTCAATTGATGTCATAATTTTCTGAATGCATTATATTTTAAGGATTTTAATTTGCTATCTTCTTCTAAACCAGCTAAAAAATCTCTGTGGATTGATTTGTAACTCATTTCAGCTGATAAGAATACAATTGATTGAGTTATTTTATTAATACTTCTTTCTGAACCTAATAATCAATTACTTCTGCATAATTTTCTAGAAAATTTTTTACTATTTCAGCAACATATTTGCCAATCACCATTTTAGTTTTCCATTGAGGCATCCTTTTAATATTATCATGAATTCTTGGTAAAAAACCATTTTTTATCAGATGATTTCTAATGTTTTTAAAATAAGTTCTGCCAATTCCTAGCATATTGAGATAAGTTTCTTGACAAAGAAGTGTATTATGATTCTAATGGTAGAAAGTTCTTTTATTAGATTTGGTTTTCTTTTTAAGACGTCTACTACTGCTTATTGACTCACCATATATAGCTTTAAGTTGAACCATTAAAAATATGTCTTGTTCAGACTTGAAAAGAGCTTGAAAGGATTTTCTTAATTCTGCAAATTCTTCTTTAGGAACCATTGAAGAATAATCACATTTATAAACTTTTTCTAAAAAATCAATTGCTTTTTAATATTCATTAGAACCATTATATTTATTATTACTTTTCATATACACTTATCCCTATATATATAATTTTATAATTTCATGTTCACTTTGTAGGTTTTAATTTATTTTAAAATTGAAGAGATTTTAAATTGGTCCTGTGGTGACAAGCAAAGTAGGCAGACAGAAGTATTTTCAAGCATATATTCAATAATTGACATAAAAGAGAATAAAATCCTCAATTGGTTTTATGAAAAATAACTATGTCAAAATTAAATTATTTTAATGTTAAATTTTAACGTTATTAATGTTATTAATGTTAAATTAAGAATAGATGAAAAGTCTCTGTTCAGTTTATTACAAAAGACCTTGTCAATCTTGACCTAAGAAATACAAATAAGGAAATTATTTGCATAAAAACTATGAACCTTTCTTATATATATGTATATTAGCTTTAGTTTTACAAATATATCCAAATTTTTAATTGAAATTAATTGGTAGAAAATCATGAGCGATTATGATTGGCATATATATTTAAAAAGGGAAAAAAATAATCCAAGAAAAAGAAGATACTTATCAAGGCAAGCCTAAATGCATGAAACCGCAAACTATTATTCAAGAATTATCCACTGTTTCAATTCCAGATGAACATCAATCAACGCACCTTCCAAAAATTCCAATATGGAAGAAGTATCTAATCAATTCCATAAATTGTATTTTGATATTGACGTATTTGAAAAGAAGAGGGATCAAACAAATCGGGAGGTAATTCAATATTATTTTCGCTTTGGAAAGGCTTTATCGGAATGACTCACCATACTATTAAAAAGGAACCCTCTACAATCGGCACATACAAAGCTAAATAGTGAAGTTAAAGATAAACTTTTGAAAGATCTCAGTCAGGCTATGTTATGCAAAAGAACTGATACAGCCTGAAAGATTTATGATATTTTTAGTAAAATCAGGAAAGTAAGATTCAGCGGGTTAAATCCTTTACCGCTTCTAGTTTTTCAGACTTGACAAGAAATGAGGTTAAATATATTGTGGAAAACTTCCCATCCCATGAATAGAATATTTGACACTCACCTTTGATTTATCATATAATTTTTAGCGAAGCTAGTTCCACTAATAAACTATATCATATATAATCAAACACGTAGATTCACTCCATCATGTGATACTGTTCTGACCCAGAACACCTGCAATTTTTGTGTCTTCATGAACCTCTTTTAAGTATATAATACTTGCTTCTAATGTATTCTTTGATATTAAAAAATTCGGTAGAATGTATTCTACAGGAATTTTCTCGCATTAGTTCAAAAAAAGAAAAACAAATGACAATACGAAATAATTGCTTACATGGCTAGAGAATGATTACTGCCTTTCTCTCGAAATCCTGTCTTCTCACATTTCATGTTTAAAGCCAGAGCAAAGTAAGTTGGACTGTATGAGAAATCTACAATAATCAGTGTACATTGGCTGAACAGGCAAGTATAGTAATGAATTCTGGAGAAAGAACTTTCAGGTACTAATCATGTCCTATTTTCGATAGTCTTAGTAAACTACTTGAAAGAGCAGACCCAAAACTTGGGTCTTACTTGGAGTTTCTAACCCTAAACCGTCTACTATTATTAATTCACCACCATATACAAACGAATGAAAAGGCCTTGATGGCACATGGACTAAACGATTTCTACAAGAGGCTAAAGAGTTGGATCTAGACTCAAATAGTATTATAGAAAAGGTAATTTTATTTCAATTTAGTGCAGAAGGGAACTCCTGACAGGTATTATCTGATCCAGAGTATCAGTAATTTCTGCTCGAGTGATAGTGTAAAGCAATTTCTTGACAGGTAGTACCTGAGCTTGAAGCATCAGTGATTTCTGGTCCCACAATTGCGACCTGCTTTATTATGTTTCAGTTTGGTTTGTTGAGATGTTGGAATGACGAAATACATATTCTAATTATCTACTCTATTCTAACCAAGGTAAACTTAGAGTGTGCCAATTTCGACCTGTGTTCTTTTTGGCAGAATATGGATTGAGCTAGGAATAAAATGCACTAAGAAGCATAAATTCGACGGTATTTTGAAAGTGATAAAAGCCAAAAAAAATAGCAAGACAATTCTTTTAATTGAATTCGCCAGAAGGAAAACAACAGCAAAAAAAGAAGTAAATGATTACACTAAACTAAGTAGAAATATAAAAAGAGCTTTAAACGAATTACTAAAAAATATACCAAAAGAAATGGCAAGAGTATATCTATCAAAATTAGGAACCAGACAATAGAAAAGTTATTTACACATATATATTTTCTCCACAGATGGGAGTATCAATATTAAATACCTAATTCGACCACTTCCTTCAGTTTATTTGATGAATCAATTTTTATTTATGAAAATACCGGTTGTTTTTGAAGACTTCGAAAATTTCGCAAAAGATATGACCCAGTTGATGAATCTCTAAGTAAGGATTGATAATAAATATTCATAGACACCCTCATCAGATACTGATAGTGACTGGCTTTTATTATTGTAGGCCGATGTACTTTTAACTGCTAAACAGATAAATAAACACTCAAATGGTGGTGACAATGCAAGGGTAGTGGATTCAGTTCAAACTACACCAGAAAAGCTAACAAAAGTCAATCTAGAAAGGAAAGAACAACCTAAATCACCGACTCCTTCTAATGGTGAAACTTATCTTCTTGCATAGTCAATGGATTAAATTGATGGTACTTTAGAAATTAGTTTAATTTTATCATATATGTACAGATATATAAAAATATTTTTTATTTGCATTTAGCACTATTGTTAATAAAATTATATCTGCATGGTAAGTTAATCAATTCATGTGCTTAGTTTTTCTCGAAAAGTATTGTGTGCACTATGTATTTATGCCTTGCTTACAAACTTACGAATTGTAATTTGCGTTGATCGTACTGGTTAATAAAGAAGACAAAGATATTTGCATTTTATCGTGATAAAGTTTGTTCACATCATCGGAATTTTGATTTTCAACCATATTATCATGTATGCTATTTAGAAAAAACTAATATAATTACTTCAAGAAATATAGATAGACTTGCTATCCTACTTTTTCAAATTTTAATAATTCGAATTTACCTTCAGATATTCATATACCTCTTCATAATCGAATATCGTTTTCGTGTCTTGTGTCTTCCTATTTAAGATAATTTATATCTTCCTCATGCATGATATGTACATATTTATTCTGGTTTTGATATTACAAATACTGTTTTGGATTCATATTCTTAGAATTGCGAGACATATTTATGTATAGTGATCAAGACATTCAAATTTTTTTCACGCACTCATAATTTTTATCTTTCGTAGAAAGTACACTCTGTGCATTAACTCAAACTTTTGAACATATCTGTATTTTACATAAAATAATGGTAAACACTCAATCCCAAATTGACTTATTGAGAGAATTGAGTTCTAAGCTCATAGCTGAGATTGCTAACCTTAGAAAGGAGAATGCTGAAGTCAAGACTGAGAATATGTTATTTCCCTCTATATAATTCCAACTATTAAAGAAAATGGTAGTTATTTTCCTTTTAAGGATTTCTGCTTTTTGTTAGGTAATAGCACATTTTCATTTTGTTTTTTTTTTCTAACATTTATGATTTTTCTTTCTTCTTGGTAAATTTTATAAGTAATCCTTTTTTTTCTCAGATAAGCTTCAAGTTTCTGAGTATCATTTATTTTGAAAATATAAGGAGTTTTTTCACTTTGTTCTTTCTTCAAAATACTTCTGATAGTACTATAATTCTTGGATTTCATAGGTTCCATAGTAGATCTGATGTAAATAAGTTTCGTATTAACTATTTTTGTCTAGACAAATATTATGATCACATTATATTGGTAATACAGTTGTGATGTTAGACACATATTGATCCCTAAAATTCTTGATAGTATATACCAATGTTCATTTTGTCTGATTTTGTTGCAGTATATCCCATATAATAAATAAACCATTTAAATTTTACTTTTAAATATTTTTATTCATCAAATTTTAAATATTCTATTATTTAGAAATTTTGGATATATAAATTAATTTCAGATGGGTTTTCGAATATTAGATAAGTTTCAGAATTTCAAAATATCAGAAAATTACACTATCAGGCGAAAATAATTTTAGACAGTTTCAGTTTCAAATATAAGCAAAATATATTAGTTTCACCTACATCATTAGCACAGTGTCTCTAGTCAATATATATCACATATATTCAGATATATACCATTGAAATGAAGTTTAGAGGTGTGCTCCGAATCTGATCAATCTGGATATCCGGTCATCCATTCGAAATTTGACCAGATTCAGATTGATCTGTTTATATCACCGGATTGACCGGATGGATCATCGGATATCCAGTGAATAAATTCGACTTAGGTAAGCATAAATATATTTTTTTTTTTTTTTACAATAACGATAATATTAAATCTACGTATTACATCACTTACTCTCTCTTACACATATATACACATACACACACACACACAACACACAACACACATATATATATACACACACACATACTTTTTTTTTCTCTCTCTCTCTCCCCTCTCTCCCTCTCTCCTCCTGAACCTTTTACTCTAAATTTCGATTTGAACAGCTTGAATTCAAACGGTAAGTGCAAAATTCTTCCTTTTTTGTCTTGAAAATATTACTAACTTTTATTTTACTTCTTTTCTTTAGGGAACGCCTTCTTGGACCTGGATTTCGGCTAGGTTATGAAGGTAAGTTGGTGTTTTTGTTTTTTCTGTTATTGGGAACGTCATTAACGTTCCTTTTACTTCTTTTCTTTAG